CCGTAAAAAAGTTACAGTGTTTGGTGCCATTTCAAGTGAGCTGAATTGAGCCGAGTGCCTCAGTCTGAGGCTGCATCTCTGAAGGGAAAGTTTGATAGGGAGAAGGAAAATAACTTGATAATTTTCCATGACTGTTGTGAAGAGTACATAGCCACGTGATGTGCAAACTTCCCTGTTTGTAAAATCTACATTTAAAGTCTGTTAATTTATGCAAAATCTGGGGCTCGAAATGTTGCAGGTGGGATCTGTAAATTGTCACTTGTATGTTTGATTATTGCTGGATGTGAGGTTGCAGCCCCTGTGTGAAATGGAACTTTTCAGTACTGGGCTAATGTTTTTTTGATTCGATTCTTACCAATCACAAACAACTAGAGAAGCAAAAGGAACTTAAACTGTGCTGGGATTTTTCAGCAGTATTTTCTAGCCTTTCTGTGTTCAATTATTTTGATTTTGCTCTTTATCATGACCGCTGGCCACCCAAGCTTCAGCGACATTAAACACCCACACGGCGTTACGGTGTGGAAACCTGTGATTTATTTAAAAGCGAGCTTTACGTAAAATTTTTACAAAATCACAGAACTTTCAGCGTTGGGAGTGATCTCTGAAGATCACCTAGTCACACTCCCTGCCGTGGAGGAGCCACCTAAGGCAGGTGTCACAGGAACGCGTCCAGATGAGTGTGGGATATCCCCAGAGAGGGAGATCCGCACCCTCCCCGGCCAGCGCTCGCTCCTGCTCCATGGCAAGCAGCTCTTCCGCACGCTGAGGTGAATGCTGTGTTTTATTTACGGTTCCCCCTCACGCTGGCAGGGTGCGACACCGCGCAGCGGCCGCCGCCCCTGAGGCGCTCCCTCAGGCGAGGGCGGGCGCGCGCCGGGGCCGCCCCTGGCGGGCGGAGCGGCGCCTGCGCGGCCCCGCGGGGACCCCCGCGCGCGGCGTCTCGCGAGAGGCGGCGCCGGGAGCGCGCCGGGAGGAGGAGGAGGAGGAGGAGGAGTGGGAGGAAGGAGAAGGGGAGGAAGGCGAAGGCTGCGGTGCCCGGACGGGAGGTGAGCGCGGCGCCGGGCAGGGCTCGGGGGTTGTCCGGGCGGGGCTCGCTGAGGAGGTGCCGCCCCGGGGCCGGACCAGCTCCCGGTTATGAGCGCGGCGTGCCGCCCGCCTGTTCCTCCGCTCTCTCCGGTGCCAGGTAGGGCTCGGCTCCGGCGGGACGCGGGGCTCTGCGGGCAGCTCCCCTTCTCGCACCTTCCCGGCTGGATGCTTCCCAGGGAGCGGCGCGGGTTTAGCCTGGGTTAAAGGAGGACCGGGGGCACCACATCGCTCTCTACGGCCACCTGGAAGGAGGCTGTAGACAGGTGGGTGTCGGTCTTTTCTCCCAAGTAGCAAAAGATAGAAGAGGAAACAGCCTCAAGCTGGACCAGGTGGTGGTGTGACCGTCCCTGGAGGTAGATGTGGATGTGGCACTTGGGCTCACGGTTTGACAGCGTTAGGTTATGACGGTGGAACTCCATCCTAGAGGTCTTTTCCAACATTAGTGATTCAGTGAGTCCCTCCAGCTCCGGTGCTGGGCCTGAGGCTGGTGCAGCCCTGCCGGGTGCTCCGCAGCCGCTGCCGGGCTTGGCAGCGCCCGGGGGAAGAGCGGAGCGATGCCGGGATGCAGCCGCCTCCCCACGGCACCGCCGGCTGCCGGCGCTGCTCCGCGGGGATCCGGCCCGAAACGAGCTTCTTCCACGTGCAAAACTTCACCGCAGAGCCCAGGCTGGAAACTGCCGGAGCCGGGTGTTCTACAGCCAGTGCGGCTGTCAGGGCTGACACACAGCAAATGTCCCCGGGTGCTGCTGGCCCACGCTGCAGCACCGGGGCTGCGGAGGTGCTTCCTGCAATTGTGAAGCCAGGGATGGGTTCGTGTGCTGGAAGTTTGTGATAAAAGTAATGGGTGAACAGTGCGTCCTGCGTCTGGGGAGCTTCCTCCTGAAATTTAGGAAGTTGTGACAACTTCCAATGGATATTAAAAAAGAGGTGGCAAGTGCTGCCAAGCCTGTACAAACGAGGCTTTGTGACAGCAGTGGCGGACAAGGTACTGGCAAACTGTAGATTAGGATGTTCTTCTGCTGGTCTGTAACATATATGGGCTAAGTTGTGGTGCCTCATGCAAAGTAGCTCCATTTTTTGCTTATGGTGTACATTTATACTAATGTAAGTATTGGTGCCATTTGATGGGTTAAAATTTCCTCACTCTGCAAAGGGTGCTAGACTTTTGGGAGGCTGGGCAGAAAAAAAATGTGTTGAGTGATAGCCAAGTGCATGAAATTTGTTTATTGGTACAGTTTGCTTTCACTGGTGGGAGCTCGTTCTCCTGCACCTTTAGGAGATTAAATTAGGTTCCACTTTTATAGAGGTTGCTGATTCCCTAAGCATAACTGGTGTGTACCATGATATGGAAGTATAGAAGGCTGCATGGGTCCGGTGATCCCTGGTGAAGTGCCCCAAGGAAAGTATCCATTTGAATTTGGGGGGGTTTTATGTGTTTTTAAAAGTTCTTACTCCACTTCTTTCTGTCTTTCTAAGCAGGCAAAATCCAAGTAAGCTACCTGAAATCCTGTATCTTCTCATGTTAGATCAAATGGGCACTGGAGGAGTTGAGATGGTGCCAAGTGCTGGGGAAACTCAAAGCAAGAAGAGAGGGGACCAGCACCCAAGCCTTTGGAGGCACATTTCTTTCAAAGCCACTGCTCTTCATAGAGAGGGTTTATTGTCCCCTGTATCTGGCACATGCTTTCTGTAATCTGCTTTATTTTCTGTGGGCCTTACTGCTCCTGTAAGTGAGCTGGACTTTCTTTTGCAGAGAGGGTGGAAGAGAATGTAGTTGTTGTATAAAGCCAAGAGGGGAGGAATAAAGAGACACAAATTGCTTAAACTCTTCTCTGTTCTGAGGATAAACAGTTACAATTGGGCTGTGAAGTGGAAATAAAGTTTCCAAACCCCTGAGGAGTTGCATGTGCAATAACTATTGCAAGGAGAGTGTTGGGGACACATCCTTTCTGGTGTTAATGAGTTTGAGAGGTGCTTGTTTGACACAGCGGGGGAGTTTGACCTGTCGTGGCAGGAGTGACCTCAGACCACGGTGTCATTCTCAGGCCTGGCATGGGGAGAAAAGTTCTTGGTTCACACCTAGGCCAGGTTCAGGTTGGAGATGGTCACAGGATGGCTGCTCAGGGGACTCTGTGGGATGATTATAGCACTTGGTCCACTTTCCAGTTTGCCAGCACCGTGTCACAGAGGCAGCTTTGTGTAGATCCTGGTGCATGTTCCTGTTGGCTGGTGACTTTGGGTTGAACTTGAATGTAAATTCTTGGCTCTTTCTGGAAGCTTTTCCTTTTGATTCTGGCAAGGGGAGGACAGAGGCACGTTCCCTCTAATGTGCACAGAGAGCTCTAATTTGTGCTTTCAGTCTGGCGTCCTTTATGAAGTGCTCAGGAAGGGAATGGGTCATAATCAATAGAGCAACTCTTGTTTTCTTCTGTGTTTTCCTTCTGAGGGGGAATTAAGCTGTCTTACTGCTCTTTTCCAGGGTTCCTCTCTGGCACTGGTAGAGTTAATAGCAGTGGAGTCTTTCTGATTCTATGCTGCTCACTGCTGTGTGTGTGTCTTGGAAAAGCCAAACTCTCTGTCAGGCCTGTGTGCCGTGTCCTGGAAAGCAGGCTGGAGCCCTTGGGGTGCACTTGGTGAAGCTGCACTGTGGGGTGGCTTTGGTGAAGATCCCTGTTTCCATTTGCCCCAGGAATGTGAGTGCCACACGCAGTGTCCAGTTTGCCCCTGTGGCTGCTGCCAGGAGGGTGATCTGTCCACGCCTGGCTGGGACAGCTTTGCAGGAATGCTGGGAGGCTGCAGTGCTGCCCGGGGCTGTGGGAGCTGCTGGGTTTGGGGACAGCAGGAGAGGATGCTCCGTGCAGCTTTCCAGGCTTGCTGCATTCCAGCCAGCCCAGAGGTCTCGAGCAGCGCTGGAAGCGCAGAGCGCTGGGATTCTGTGCGCAGTGGGCACCCTATTCATCCAGAATAGGAAGCAGTCCCTGCCCTGAGCAGCTAAACGGGATCAAAAGCAAGAACAGGCTTGGGCAAAACTCAAACCCAGGAGTGTGCCAAGCAGGAGGCTTGGCACTGTCCCTCCATTATCTTCTGCTGCTGGACTCGGATGCTTGGTCTGAAGTGCTGACGCACATATGTAATTTGCCCCTTCTTTAGCTCTCTGCTGATCTCTCTGGGTGTTTCTTCTCAGATCTGCTCCATCCTCAATCTTGACTAGCTAAACAAGGAGAATTACTGCTGAGTAATACCTGCTTCTTGCTCTGCAGAGTGTAAAAATGTTATGTCTGCAGTTCCTCCAGCTCCCCTTTGCAGGCAGAATAAGAGCCTGGCTTCAAGAGAGGGCACTTTTTGGTGTTGCAGTGCAAAGCTTGTGTTAGGCTACAGCTTTGCTGAATTCCCGTCTGTCCCTACTTCCCTACTTCCAAATAGTAAATAAATACACCAGGGTGGAGAAACCAAAAGCCTACAGATATGTGTTTTGTGTCTTGGGACGAGCTGACCTAATACTTTGACATGTGACAGTATCTGGTATTGTTCCTCTTTGTTACTAAATTCCTGTCTAATGTTTGAAACCTGGACTTTGGTTGTTAAAACCCATCACCCCTGAGACACAAGCATAACCATGCAGGGGACTTTTTCCTAAGTCATTCACTGCAAGGCTGCAGTGAACTTCAGAGATACTGAGCACCTTTTCCCTGGGAATGACAGAGCTCAGCACTTCTGCATATCTGGACTGGAGTTCTTCTGTGTTGGGTGGGGTTGATGCTGTTTAAGGGTGGTGTGAATTGGCTGGGGAGCAACCTCTGTGATTTGGGAAGAAAAGACACCCAGCCTTCATTTTAACAAAACTTTTCAGGGCAGCTTGCCCTGAAGTGGCTTTGTTTTCAAAGCTGGTGTTTGCAGAGTTTATTCTGAAGTCATTGGAAAGATTTAGGATGTCTGTGGAAAGGACAGCTCTTGTTTTTTATCTGTAGGTGCTGCTGTGTGTTTATAATCAGAGCCTGGACTATGCTTGGAGGGGTGGAGAACATTGTAGCTCCTCAGTTTGCTGTTTTGTTCTTCCCTGGCTGTAGGCACTGGCTCCTTGCTGGCTCAGGGAGAGCTCAAGGCTGGTTTGCCAGCCTGCCTCTGCACGGAGCCTTGCACCAGAAAACATGCAGCAGGGTGGGGAGATGGGTGTTCCCTGAGGATCTTGTGGGAAGAAAGGGGCTGGGAGTCATGGAAAGCAGACAGCAGTGAAAAGATGGGACTGGTTGAAGCAACAAACTCAAACCTGCTGCACCCCTCAGAACAGATGATCTGAGCTGCTTCTTTAACAGCGATTTCTCACCTGTCTTTGGTGATCAAGAGTTGTTAGTGTTGAGTGTGATAGAAATATAAATTACATCAAAGCAGGAAAAGAGGTTCTAACTCAACAGTGTCTGGGCACAAACACAGATTTACCAGAGCATCCTTAATCTCCAAAATCATTCAGTTAAAGGTAATCTGTCCTTTAGATTTTTATTGATTCGTGGCTCTTATCAGGACTGTATCTCTTTGCAGAGTTGTAGGAGAGCTGTTTGTGTAATCTTTGTCCCTGGCAAAATGAAATAGCTACCAAGAGAGGTCATGGAAATAACACCTACCAGGTGCCTTCACACAGAGTAGATAAGATGGTGTGTTCAGGTCAGTGATGTTCTCTCAGCAGGGATTTGCTTTAGCTGCCGAGGCAGTGGCACCTTCAGCCCTGTATTCATAACTCAAATAAGGAATTTGTTTTCAGCACAGAGGACCTTCATGCAGAGATGAGACCACAGTGCGATACCAAAAGCTGAAATAATGGATTGAGGCTTCTTACTTCTTCTGTGTTAGATAGTGTAAAAATCAAGGAGGTCTGAAAGGTAATTTACTCTGCATACTTTCTGTCTATGGTTGTATATTTTAAAACTCTCAAGCTTGCCTCTGTAAGCTCTAGGCCTGAAATCATTATATTTTACTGATTTTTAAAAATTTAAACAGAACTTCTCTTGAAATGATTTAATTCCAGAAACTTGATAAAAACCCATGACTGCTATGAAACTGATAAAATTGCAGCACATTATGTCTGCTTTTGGCCAGCCAGATCTTTTCCACAGAGTCTCTGTGGATAGCTCTGACTCTCACAGCTCTCCCCATGTGGAAGTGGGGATGGTCAGCCCCACAACAAGTTTTGACTGTGCCAGGTCATTCTCTCCAAACCAGAAGGATTTCTTAAGGATTAACTTTTCTTTCCTCATACCTTTCCAGGCTCCTTCTCTGCAGCACCATGCTGGATCCCAAGCCTCACTCTGCAAGCCAGAGGTGAGTCCAGGTGAAAGCCAGCTACCACAGTAGTGTCAGGATGACCAAAGCGCGGCTCCTCCGTCTGTCTGTGGTGCTGGTCTCCATCTTCATGATCCTCCTGATTATTGTGTACTGGGACAACGTGGGGACAGCTCACTTCTACCTGCACACATCCTTCTCCAGACCCCACTCCCCAGGAGCCATCACAGCAGCTGAAGACTGGGAAGCCTTGCCAGATGTAGATGAATTTTTGGCAAAGCTGCTGAGCTCGAGCCTGAAACAGAACACCTCTGTCCCCCGAAAGACAGAGCAGCTGCTCGTCCAGGGCTCCAACAAGCCTGTGGTGAGTAACTTGGAGGAGAACGTGCGGGGCTATGACTGGTCTACGCACAAGGACAGGAACAGTTTGGACCAAGAGAAGCTGCAGGTAGAAAGGCAGAGAACACTGCGAGAGTTTTGTGCCAATTCCAGCTTCACCTTCCCCACCAAGGAGCGCTCCTTCGATGACATTCCAAACTATGAGCTCAACCACCTGATCGTGGATGACCGCCACGGTGTCATCTACTGCTACGTGCCCAAGGTGGCCTGCACCAACTGGAAGCGTGTGATGATCGTGCTCAGTGAGAGCCTGCTGGACCAGGGGGTTCCCTACCGGAACCCTCTGGACATCCCCCGGGAACACGTCCACAACACCAGCACCCACCTGACCTTCAACAAATTCTGGCGCCGCTACGGGAAGTTCTCCCGGCACCTGATGAAGATCAAGCTGAAGAAATACACCAAGTTCCTCTTTGTACGAGACCCCTTTGTCCGCCTCATCTCCGCTTTTCGCAGCAAATTCGAGCTGGAGAACGAGGACTTCTACCGGCGTTTCGCCATCCCCATGCTAAAGCTCTACTCCAACCACACCAACCTTCCCACCTCTGTTAGCGAGGCCTTCGGGGCAGGCCTCAGAGTCTCCTTTTCTGACTTCATCCAGTACTTACTGGATCCCAGGACAGAGAAGATGGCCCCCTTCAATGAGCACTGGAGGCAGGTTTACCGTCTGTGCCACCCGTGCCAGATAGACTATGATTTCATCGGGAAGCTGGAGACGCTGGATGAGGACGCTGCTTATTTATTGCAGCTCCTCAAAGTGGACAGGCTGCTTCGCTTCCCACCCAGCTATCGGAACAGGACTGCCAGCAGCTGGGAAGATAACTGGTTTGCCAAAATCCCACTGGCTTGGAGGCAGCAGCTCTACAAGCTTTATGAAGCAGATTTTGTACTCTTTGGCTACCCCAAACCAGAAAACTTGCTTAAAGACTGAAAGTGATTGGGCACTGGGTGTGGGAGGGAACATCTGAAATACCAAAAATGTTTAAATCCTCCTCATTTTTGCTCTTAACTCCCTTCCCAATGCAAGTTGGTACAATGGAATATATTTTTTCTACTGCTTCCCCTTCCATTTTTACAATAATGCCAGAGTCCAGGGTATTACAGCCAGCTCTGCATATGCAAAAAATGCCATTTTTTTTGGGTTATCATTTGTTTTCTGTTTTTTAAAATGTCCCCATACTTTGCAATGGGTTGCTGCCCTCAGTCACTCTGCCAATCATGTCCTTCAGTAGCTTTTTATTAATACTTTTTAAAAATTAATATATTTAAGATATTTAAAACAAAGCGTGTGTCATGGCAAAGGAAGGGAAGGAATAAAAAAAGTCAAAGAAAACCCCAAGAAATTATGTACCTGCCTCTGTGTGTTGTCTCAGTGCTGCTGTTTCAGAGGTCCAAGGTTTGCAGAGCACTTGGATCTCTCTGGGGGTGGGGATGTTGATGGTGCCAGATCTGCTGGTGGTCACTTCAAAAGGCAGTGAGATGGGTGAGTGCCTGACTTTGCCAAACAGGCCTGGAAGAACACCTGGAAGGACTCTGACTCACACTACTCACAGGTGTGGAGTGTGACACCAGGGTCACAGGAAGGAAATGCCATTGGGAGCAGTGACAAGAGGTCCTGTGGGGTGTTTTGGGGCATGCAGGTTGCCAACACAGCACCTCTGCACTGCCTGACCTTTTGGCAAAGTACTGCGGGACTCTGCTGTTCACAGAGCTGAGGTTCAGCCCCTGTACATTGCTAGTGTGGAGCATTCCCATGACCTGTCCCTTTTCCAGGAGGGTGGTGATGTTCTTAGGAGTTGTGGCCAGCCAGGATGGGCAGAGTGCTCCTGGATGGTTGAGCTGGCCAGGCCCTGCTGTGCTGCTCCATGTCCTGGCCTCTGCTGCATGCAGTGCAAGTCCCTTGAGATCCATGCTGTGTCCTCGTCATCCCTGTGCACACTTTAGAGGAGCATGGTAGGGATGCAGATGCTTATCCTGGGGAGAAGAAGATCCAAAAGGTTTCTTTCAATAAGCAGATGTCAAGGTCAAGTCAAAATTTTTCTGTTTTCAGCATTCCAGCTACTGCTCGTGCCACCAGATCCTCATCCACTGCCTTTCTGCTTATTCCAAATGGCTGATGCAGATTTGATCATCTGCCTTGCTGGGACCTGCTGCAGGAGTGATGGTTCCCACTGTGCTGGGAGCATGTGGGCTGCTTCCCAAAGGAAATTAATGCCTTTAGAGACTTTTTGTGTTTCATCAGCTGAATCTGCTTCTCTTTCTCTCTCTGAATTGCTCTGCAAGAACTGTTTGCTTAGCAGATTAGGCAGGCAACTCTTTCAGAGCTGAAATGCTTAATTATTTCCATGGACTGTGGATGGTATGGGTGATTAAGGTCCAGGGTCAGGCCTTGGGAGACAGCTCTGTGTTTTGGGGGGACTTCTTTGTATTGGCCTTTCACTCAGTTTCTCTCCAAGGCCATCAGCAGGCGTGACTTTTCCTCTCTCCTCTCACTTCCCCAGTTTCTGCACAATTACATCCAGGCACTCCATGCTTTTTCTAATAAATGTGCTGTATCAAGCTTTTTAACCTATAAATGAGAGGTAATTGCTGGTAGTTAGATTCAAAACAAAGGGTTTGTTTCTCCTTGTACTCACACCACTCTCCTGTAATTTGTGCAGAGATATTTGCAGTTTAAATGAGCCTGAAACCGTTGTCAGGGTCTTGGTGCTTTGCTCCTCATAGCTTGGGGAAAAAGGAAGTGTCTGCTTCTGAGTCATTATTTAAAACTAATAATAGAAAAGTGTTGATCTATTCAATTTTTTTCCCAGTTAACAGTTAATTGCTGCAAAACAGAAAGATGTAGAGTCTCATAATGAGTAATCCCGGGAGTCTCTTGATTCCTGCTACATTTACATTTCTTCAGGGTGGGTTCATCCCTCTTGTCAAAAAACACAGAGTGGATGTTTTCATCTCTTGTCTTTTCAAAGTGTTTATTTTTTCCTCTTTTAATTTCCATGAAATTGATGTTTAGTATGTGCAGGCATGGGGGGCTGGGGCCAAAGCACAGATGCTGTGTGAGCTTCCCACCAGCTGCTTCCCCTGCACCTCTTGATCTGGTCCTCTCTCTTCTTGCCCCTCCAAGCAGTGCTTGGCTGCTGGATCCCAGTGCCACCCTGCAAACCAGCTGCTGCCTCCCCAGCCATGCTTGTCCTGTGATTCATGGCCACGACCTGTCCCAGGAACATCTTCTCAAGGTCACTGGCTGGCAGTCATCCAGGGCAGGGGAGGAGTGGCTTGCAGTGTTGCCATTTTTGGCAGCAAGTTCCTGGTTGTGCAATGGGCAGAAAAGGTGCAAAATGGCTGCAAGAGCTGCCCAGCAGCTGCTCCATGTGATGTGAGTGTATCCTCTCCATATGGCTGCCTTGTGATTTAATAGCCATAGAAGAAAAAGGTTTTTCCAAGGCTCCCTTGCTGACACTGGCTAGACAGGGGAGACTTGGAAGACACTGATTTCTCTTTCCACATCCAAAGCTGGATGAAGTGAGTAAATTCCAGCTTTATGTGCTAACACCACTCTGTATCACACTGAGGTCCAAAACACCCCATGTGTGAGGCTGAGCAAGCTGCCTGCATCCCAATGGATCTATCAGCCTCCCTGGAAGCTGCAGGCAGAAGAATGTACGGATGGCATGAGACCACCAAGGCCTTAGTGTTCTTTGCTTTCCCTTTTTACCTCACCAAGTCCAGCCCTTACTGATATCTCAGACATTTTAGTGCTTGCAGAACTGTCCCAGCCAATGTGCTGGGTGCTCTTGGCTCTGTCCTCGTTTTCCATTGCCACGCTTCAAAGCTCTTCCCTGGAGGAGCAGTAAAACTCTGATGGGGAGTGTTCATGCTGCAGTGGTTGGCTTCTGGATTCAAAATAACTTATTCCTTGCTGCTTCTCTCTTTTGAAGCCCTTCTTCCCCACCCTGCCACCGCTGTGAATGTATTGTTAAGAAGTCAAAGGGGATCCAGGCTGTGCTGAGCTTTGTGGTAAGACCACTGGGTTGTCAGAACTGGGATGTAGCCTCTGGCTTTGGAAATGTGCATTTTTTGTGGGTTTCTTGCTCTGTTCTCATGATGTGAAAGTGTGTATGTGGGGGGGGGAGAAGGACAAAGAGTTCAACCAGCCATGCTTCCTTCCCCCTGGTTTCGCAAAGGAGTTGGAATTTGGTATTTAACTAATAATGGCAGGCAGAATGCATCCGTGCTGGCCTGAAGTCAGAAGAGGACTAAAAATCGTGGAATGTAGATGGTTATGATGCTCGTATCAGTTTCATGAGGGCTGGAAAATGCTTTGAAGCAGGCTATTTGTGTCTGAATAAACCTGGCTTTGTCATTTCATGCTCAGCCTGCAAAGCTGTGTCCTGTTCCCCTCTTGGCTTGCTTTTCCCTGGGGTTGACCACTTGGCCAAAGACAGCACGGAGTCTCTAACGAGGCAGAACTGATGTGCAGATGCAAAAATAACCTGGGGTTTGACCAAGATGTTTCCAGCTGGGTAGAACTGAAACCAGCTTTACTGCTTGCTCAGCATCAGAGCCAAAATCTTTACACAACCATTGAACAGATTTGGTCCCTCGCTGTTTGATGCCGGATTCTCTGGTGGAGTGGGATGCATGTGACCTGGCTTTGCAGCCCCTGTGCCCTCCAGGAAAGGGCTGTCAGGTCACAACTCCTTGTTTTTTGAGCAGTGGCATGACTTTGTCAGGGTAAGAGTGTCTTTAACACAATGGGTACCTTAGCATCTCAGTATTTTTTTTTGCCTTAATCCTTTAATTCACTTGTTTAGGGGCACAAAACCACGGACAACATTCACCCTGGGACAACATGTGAGATGAAGTGTTTTGGCTGTGTGTTTTGCATCCTTCAAGGTGGCACTGGAAGGATGGAGGGCAGGGGATGAATGGCAGCATTGAAAGGGTGGTGAAGAAAAGCCAGTTTGTTCCTTCTTACGTAAGCCGGACCTTCGCAGTGCCCGCGGGGGAAAGCCGGTGACTTGGCAGGGTGCAGCGGGGCTGTGGTGCACAGCGGTGCCAGGGAGGGTGTGGGCTGTGGTGGCTCAAAAGAAAGTCGTGTTGCTTGTATTTAAGGGCTTGCCCACGCTGGTCTTGCTCATAAACCCTCTAGTCAAGGGTAAGAGGGATAAATAAAGCAGAATTTAATAAAGCCATTGATCCCTGGCTGTTTGGGAAAGAAATGGGGAGGATGGGTGGTGCTGGCTCTGGAGCTGGCACAGTGCAGCTCTACTCTGTCCATAATTCAATCAAACTGGGGATTGAGCTCAGACTGTGCAGCCTGAGGTTTGGCCTTGCAGGAGTTGGGGGGCATTTGCCCTGGGGTCTGTGGCAGTGTGCCATGCCATGCTGGGAGTGATGGGGAAGAGCCCTGTGCTGGGACAGGAGTGATGCTGGAGAGCCCTGTGCTGGGACAGAGTGATGCTGGAGAGCCCCGTGCTGGCAGGGAGGGATGCTGGAGAGCCCCGTGCTGGCAGGGAGGGATGCTGGAGAGCCCCGTGCTGGCAGGGAGGGATGCTGGAGAGCCCCGTGCTGGGACAGAAGGGATGCTGGAGAGCCCCGTGCTGGGACGGAGTGATGCTGGAGAGCCCCGTGCTGGGACAGAAGGGATGCTGGAGAGCCCCGTGCTGGCAGGGAGGGATGCTGGAGAGCCCCGTGCTGGGAGGGAGGGATGCTGGAGAGCCCCGTGCTGGGACAGGAGTGATGCTGGAGAGCCCCGTGCTGGGACAGAGCGATGCTGGAG